TCAACAAATTACCGCGATAAGCATAAGCTGAATCCGAGCGAAAACTTCGAGGAGCTTCAGACACGTTGAGGATTAGTCACAACAAAATTTTTGAGGCGGTATTTACTAATATTCAGAAGGTGTTACTCGAAGATAACTCAAAATGGAGCTGGTCGTTTGTGGGGTAATAGTAAAACATGAAGACACCCACAGACACTTACAGACAGCACACAGACATCCATGGATGTCTGTGTATGAATGTCTGTGCTTGGATGTCTGGGTGCTGTCTGTAGGTGTCTCTGGGTGTCTTCATGTTTTACTATTACCCTTCGTATGTGCGGAGATTCTTCGTCACACTAAGTGATGGACAGCTAGTGTTGGTAGCAAATTACAACCAGGACATCCCTCACATAGCTCAACTCTGCGTTCGACCACAATGCGTGGTAGAACGTTTATCGTTTAGTACGACTCAAGATTCTTGCTAGCTTTTCAGATATGTCTTGCGAGGGCGACAAATCATCGTATAAAAAACTCGGCGAATAAACAAAATAAATTAAATGACGACTACATGCTCATCCACATTCAAGCCAATTATGCTTTCTGTTGTTATACTGCTGCTTGGAATAATAATAGGCGTATGTGGAGTCATTAAACTCTATTCCACAGTATTTGCTTCGACTATATATATTCGTAATAATGGATTGTCATATGGAAATAGTTCCATCGTAGATAAGCAGCATTTGTTGACTTCGAGAACAGAACTATCAACATCAACATATAATTTTCAACGTAATATGATAATAGGTGCAGCTGTCAATATGGGACTGTTACCTCTCTACCGTTTTGCTCGTTCAGCGCGTGCTAGTTGCTCCCACTGCGCCTTGATGTTAATCGTGACCGATAGGTCGATCTCCCATGCTGATTTTCAACAACTAGCCGCCATATACTCCATTGAATTCATTTCCTACGAAAAGTATTTACCAGTCGATGTTAAATCAAAACAACCCCGTATGCATATTCATTCCACACGTTGGATAGTGATCAATCGTTATTTGTTGGCTTTAAAAGCTAGCGGTCAGATGTACGACAATGTGTTTTTATGCGATACACAGGACACTGTCTTTCAAACAAATGTATTCACTCATATGAAGACATACGATTCAGCACTGTACGCTTTTCTAGAGGATGTCAACATGCCAATAGGTAAATGCCGTATAAATCTGAGATGGATAAGAATCTGTTATGGTGAGAAAATGTTGCAATCACTATCTAACCGCTCGATTTCATGCTCCGGTACCGTACTAGGGACCTGGTCTGCAATGACCGCTTACTTATCAACAATGGAGTCTGAGCTCATGACGAGGTCTCAAGCGTGTACTGCTGATCTTGGCAGTGACCAGGGTGTTCACAATTTTATTGTTCATAATAATCGAGTGCCGAATACCGTCATTTATCAAATTTCGCATGAAAGTGGTTTTGTTGGTACACTTGGTTATCCATCATGGATGAATAGAAACAAGTTTGGTTTGGTATTAAATTCCAACATGAGTGTTTATGCAGTTATTCATCAATGGAATCGAAGCAAACAGATGATTGCCCAGTTTGACAGAGAATATCAAATACTACCCAACAGTATCCTAAATCAGAAAAATTGACTTGTTCTAACGAAGAAAGGTCCCCAAGTGATCCATTGCCTTTACCTTGAAACCTATTTGATTATACATAATTTTTTATGCTGATCCTGAATCTGATACTCAATTGTGCTGCAAGAGGTTTCTACCATGCGCCTATAGTCATCCGGTCTCTAAAGGCCTGCCTTAAAATCCATAATGAAAAATCCTGATTGTAGAGCATGTCGAGTAGCTTCTAAGAAAATTTGCGATCTACCAGATAGGTTTTGACTGAAGTATGAGGTCTTTATGAATCAAAAGCAGCACAAATGAGTATCAGATTCAGAATCAGCATAAAAAATTATATATAACTGTCCTCAGCTCACGGTGGGCATCCAGGCGGACATTTGACCAAAATCGCGAAGTTTACTTTTTCTTCATTTGAAGATTCTCCCATAAACTTCAACTAATAACCGGTGTAATGGCAGAAAAATTTCTGTTCGAAGCAGTTTCTTACGGAAAACAGTTAGATGGAAAAATCTCGCTACAATTCGCTAGCTGCCTGGAAAAAGCCAATTTTCTCCCTGTAGATTCGAGTTCAGTCACAGTCTAAGAACATATTCGGAATCAGCAAAATTTGGGCTATCTACTACTATCAAAATATTTTCCCTTATGTATTCAAGTCAAAAAAACACTCTTTTCTGCATAAGCTGTACACATTCAGAATCAGCGTGAAAAACTGCATCGACTGATGTATAGTTTGTTAGTTTTATAAATAAAACATTTTTTGACAAAACCTCAGGGCAAGGATTCCCCTAAGGAAATTTTTATCGAAAAAAATTTCTTTTTCGAATTCGACCTTTTTTACTTCTACTAATATCTGACACATAGTAAGACCATATTATGTTAAAATAATCATTTTCTAACTCAGATGTCCACCTGCTCTATGGAAAAATGCCCACTGTGCGACTGTTGAAAAATGAATGTTTTTCTAAAGACGGTATGAGTTTAGATTCTTTTACTTAGGAATTAAACTGAAGCATAAATCGCTCGAAATATATAATTGAATCAATATTGTTTACTCTTTAGTTCAATTTGTTATGCAAATAAATCAAAATAATATTGTTACAGACACTTTGGTCTTTTTCTGTCCCGTGAGACTGAATCTTGCATATCTCAACTGAAACTAAGCGTCATGTACAATAATAATAAATGCATTTATCTGATGAAGATAGGCGGTAAAAGTGCGTTAATCAACTATGAGAAAGTTCTTGAAATAGGATTATCTGCACAAGAGTGGAATCATTCACTTTTAGCGATAGTGTATGGAAATATCGGTAGAGTGTACGAACATTAATATGAAATCGATAAAGCATTAAATAATTATGAAAAATCTATTCAATATTGGATAGAGTAAGTTGGGGTAATTCTGGACAGCCTCTCGAATTTTCACAGTATTTTGAGCGTACCTGAAACATTTTTACTCGGGAAAAACGACACTTCGCAGGTAGATAGACCGAACATTTCTCGATCTACTACGTAGTGCAAAAATCTTGTTAAAGTTCAATAAGATTAATTAGTGCTCATCAATTTCCAGAGAGCTCCTATCAATCGTCCATAATTACCCCATTTGGGGTAATTATGGGCAGTCAGTGTGTCTCGCTGGGGTAATTATGGACGGACAGTTCAGCAGAAATGGCTGTAGTCTTACATTAATAGTACTGCTATCTAAATGCTTTTCTTAATAATGACATATATTTTGTCCAATTGCCGAAATTAATAAAATTTTTTCATTCAAGCTGGGACAAGTGCGTATGATTGTGAATATAATATTTCGACTACGCTGAATCTTGTGACAATGTTACTTTCCAGTACAAAGTAGGAGTCAAAGTATTTTCTGTTAGGTTTTTCAACATAAGTCAAATCAAAATTCATCTAACCTACTTCAGAATGTCAAAAAACACTCTGTTTTATGTGACGCATATCGTAAAGCACAATAAATGTTGAAAAAGCTAACAGAAAATACTTTGACTCCTACTTTGTACCGGAAAGTAACATTGCTACGAGATTCAGCATAGTCGAAATCTTATATTTACAATCATACTCACTTGTCCCACCCTTAACAGAAGAGTTTTTGCTTCGTAGAAAAGCGCTGTCAGGCCCGAACCGCAGATATTGAAGATATATCGGGAAATAATACATTCACTCCCTGTTGCATCGTATATTAGTTAAACCGGCAGTTACTTCTTTTCACTTTCAACAGCAGTATTATTATTTGAAGACATTTTTATATTTATTGTAACCCAAATATATCACCGTCATCAAATATGAATTTTCAAACATTTTGACGATTTAGGGGCAATAAATTTAGAATTGTAGATATTAATACAGCAGCTAACTTAAACCGCATTTTTATTATGAAAAAATTTTATTTATTTCGGCGATTGGACAAAATATATGGCATTATTAAGAAAAGCATTTAGATAGCAGTACTATTAACGTAAGACTAAAGTTAGATATTAGTATTACTTTAGTCAAATATCTAACTTTAGTCTTATGTTAATAGTAACTTACCGCTATCTAAATGTTTTTCTTAATAATGACAAATAGTTTGTCGAATCGCCGAAATAAATAAAATTTTTTCGTAATAAAAATGCGATTTAAATTAGCTGCTGTATTAATATCTACAATTATGAATTTTCAAAGTCAAAATTGTTTGACTTTGAAAAATGTTTGAGATAGGCCTAACGCTGATAAACGAGAAATGATTATTTGATACGGAACTTTGTCAAAGGCTTTTTTCCATATCGAATGCGACTAGGACGGGGTCTACGGACGGTTGTTTATTAAGATTATTTGTCAGATTATGTAACAACATCCCCTGAACAAAGCATCAGAAGACTGAGAAATCTCATAGGCTGTAACCGTTCGGCTTATCTTAGCATATAGGGGATGCGTGTTCTTGTCGATTAAAACCCATCTTGTGCTGGAAGGTTCCAGAAATGCTCAAAAAGTAGCTCCATATTCGTCTTTTTCCTACTTCCTGCTACATGTTGAAATGCATCCTTGCACTGGCAAGGAGAAGTAACGTCATGTCCACTGGAAATGTATACTCTTTATTTTACACGAAATTCCACAAAACGATTAAAGACTCATAGCTTTACTTATAGAATTTCGCAAAAAACGAATGAAAGAACAAAAATACCTTCTTATGCATCCCTGTTCTTTGGTGCTATTCATAATGTTATCTCGCTGATTCATACATTGGCCTTAATTAAAAACTAGATATTTTAACATTAACAATTATGAAATGCCAGCATCAATCCATGAACTGTGGTTAATCCGTACATCGATCATTACAAATTTGTTTATTGTACTTCAATTCAATTCAAAACAAAAAACTAAACAATATCAACTCGTCATAATATTAAATCGTTGGATTCGATGATTCTGAGAATCGGCTACATAAAGATTGCCATATCGATCGAATGCCAATCCTTCGGGACCATTTAGTTGTTTCGCACCATCTCCTGGAATGAGTCCGCCAGCAATGTTGTTTCGATATAACTTGCCCCTATACGTATGCCACTGCATCACTCGATTATTCCAATAATCGGCTACATAGACTCTGTCCAATCGATCAACGACTATTCCCGCAGGACAATGCAACTGTGTAAGATTACTTCCTGCGCCTTGACCACCAGCCACGATAGCACCTTCTTTTGCATCTTTTTCCCATTTCATTACACGGTTATTCCAGGAATCTGAAACATACACCGCTTGATTTCGTCCGATACAAATGTACGTCGGATGATTGAGTTGATGAAGACTGCGACCTTGTCCGTGGCCACCGGCAACCACCGTTCCTGAGATATCACCTGACCGGTATCGTCTCACTTCATGTCGTCCGGTATCAGAAATATAAAGAGATCCTTGATCATCCATAGCCATTCCACAACATTCAATGTCCTCAATCAGTACCTTTGCATATGTGGTACTTCTGCGAAACCATTGCAGCACTCTTCGATTACCGTAGTCGCAAATAATAAAACTCTTTGACCCTTTGTCGAAAATCACACTGGAAGGTCTAGACAGTCGGTCAGGTGCATATCCATTACTATTTTTACCAGCAAACCTTCGACCGGTTCTGACACCTGAACTAAATGCCATAATACGATGATTCGAACCATCAGCAATAAAAACAGTTTGATTATTATTCACACATAGACCTTTGGGACAATGAAGCCTATTTAGTGTATGACCAGGACCATAACCACCGGCAACGGTACGAGCACTACTTTTCCATGTAGCATTGTACGGAATATCCGGTAAAGCTGTAATGAAAGAGTCAAATGATATAATTTAGAATTCCGAGGAATCAATTTTCTGTTCAAATTTCTGGTAGAACTTGGTTTATAAGCGTGAAAATCACATCATACAGATTGAACTGGCATCTGAACATAGTTTATTAATCAATAGAAATAAATTCGTCCATCTTGCTCAATATTGACAGAAAATGGTAGGACATGTAATCAAAGTGAAATACTGTTTTTTTTCCCCAAATTCAATAATTATCTTGTTCATGAATTATACAGACGAACGATCGTTCTCTTGCGAACATAAAGTTCCCTCTTCGTGTGAGTCTGATTCAAACTTTGTGAGAGGTATAGTTCAAAAAATATCAATAGAGCAAAAAAAATTGGTCGAAAAAGAAATTGAGTTGTTGATCTATTTGACTACGCAGGTCGAATGAATTCAGCGCACTGTAGCTTTCGGACGAATGACAGTTACAACAAAGGAATTAAAAAAACTACTCTTCATTCTATACTTACAACTCATCACTTCATTCAAGTAGATTTCATATTCTGATAATCCCTTCATAGACAATGGTCGTTGGCACTTGTTGCTTTCTAAGCACACATCAGCTACTATACGTCGAAAAACGCCAGTAATATCGACATTTTCTTGAGTAATACTTTTTAGCAGATGTTTAGTGAACAAGTCAGCAGGACTTGTTCGATTAGCATCACAGGCAAATTGAATAAATGTTCTAGCCGGTGGTTTAATTTCAACTAGCCCTTGACCTGAGATTGTAGCTAACGAAACACGAACTTTGCTTTTACAGAGTCGTTAACAATGTTACTTACGATTTGATGTTGATGCGCTTGGCCACAAGTACGGTCTGCAGCAATCAAAAATTAATATAGTCTCATAAGATCGTCTTGTTTCTGCTAACCGCTTGATTATGTTTTTAACTTTAATCGGTAACAAATCTAAAGCTTCATTAGTTTTTGTATCATCTTCGGCAGGAATCAAATAGTTTTCGCCTCCGGATTGGTAACTATGACCATAATAGTAGAACAAGATCAGGTCATCAGGTGTGGTTGTCTTTGCAAAATGTTGTATATTTTCCATCATGTCTGTAACGATGTCAGTGTGCATAGTGACGCTAAAATTGATTTTCTCCAGTAAATTACGCAGATTGATAGCATTGTTGGTAGAATGAGGTAATTTATTACTGAGATGACGGTATTTACCGTTGCTGATAATCAGTGCTAACTTTCGATGTTGAGATGAACTCCGATGTGACCTTGCCATGTTTTTATCTTTATCTGAAATACTGAATAAAACTGTCCTTACGCCTCGACAATCATAGCAGTTTTTGTCGCTGAGAGAAAAGTAATTGCCTTTTTTAAGTACGAAGTTTTTATAAACCATACTTTTATCATCCTATCTTTTGCTCGGTTAGTGGAAACAGGACAATGCCAAGGGTAAGAATGCATTCTGAGTCCCAATATGCGCCATCATACTACATTAAGAATATATGTAAACGAAATTTTGTTTGAAACTCTCAGGAGGAAAACTCGTTTTCGATTCTATTTGGTTTCTACCACACGAGACTAGTATACGGTTGTAACGAATTATTTGGACTACCAGATAATGGAAAGTTCCTCTGAATTCGACCTGAATTCGATGATTAACTTCGGTTTTGCTATCGAATTTGGAATAGTCTCGGATTGTACATCTGTCTCACTAAGGAAAGGGCGATTCTCTACTTATCCTCCTTAGAAGAAACTGTTAGGTGATCTCGGAGATTCTCAAAAAACCTAAGGTAGAGGCTATGCTGTTTAGGACTTCTAAAATCTGCAAAGTCACATAAAGAAAGACGTTCGCGATGAAAACTTTTCCTTCTAAAACGAGAGGGAAGCGGAACAGGTCTCAAAACGTACCGCTTTTTCGTGGCCCAGATGTTGCTTAAGCCCACTCGGTCCTGAAGAAAAGCCTTGCTGGTTTGGGCTGAATCACCAAACTGGGTAGCCCGTTTCGAGACCTGATGTAAAGTAAGAAAGTGCAGGTTACGGACAACCACATATATTTCTCTCCCTTGTTTTTACTGCAGGTTTTAGAGAAGTTCTATGAATACTCTATAGCCTTTGAGTGTACAGTCTCATGTCCTCAATCATCATAATACAAAGCTCATAGAGAATTGAGTCTTTGAGAGATTGTTTAGATTCATCAGATGAACTCGTACTAAGTATGTTAACCATGCTTGTGGACACTCCTATGATGTATAGACCTGTAACTCAAAGTTAACCATGCGGACATCTCGACTCAATCAAAATTAAAAGTTATACAAGATATTTCGTAGATCTTGACGAGCTCTCTAACGTTATTTAGCTTTCGTTTCTGTTGCTTGTATCATTTCTGATTCGTCTTTGGAATGAAATGTCAATAGGTGTAGCCTAAACTAACTTGTCACTCGACCGTCACTTCTGCTCTCGACCGTCAAAATAATCCATAGTAAGGATAAAGGATCTGAGTTGGTTAATGCCCTATTAACATGACTTCTATCGAGTGATTAGGAAGATGTACTCAGATTTTTTCTTTGCTATAATGAAAGTGTGAATTTTACTTGTAGGGCAATCAACATACCAAGTACATCTCAACAATACAATTTATTACGTTCATTATTTTATTCCGTTGTCAATACGAGTGACAATTTATTCAAGTGCCTTTCGTTAAGCGAAAAGAAAGCGCTTAAAGCGGAAGGAGCAAGAATGACTATGTGTGAAAATTTTTCACAATAATTCTTCTAGAACTAACTATTTGCTGGTTAAATCTATGTCATCATCAATGTGATAGTAAATCGAACATATCATGGCACGTGCATCCATAGATGCGGTTTCACATCTACGTTCTTGCGAAGTGCCATGCCAGAATAAAAAGGTGTTACTATTAGCACTTTCCATTGAGTAAAGGTGCTACATTTTTAGTAAATGCGATCAGACGTAGGGAGAGAGAGAGCAGATCGTTGTCATTTTGGATGAGGTTCAAGCGGAGCCCAGCAGATCCAAGAGTTTCTGAATTCCGATTTGAATCTAGGCGGAGCCGGATCGGATCCGATAGGCTCTAGACTCAAGCCTTACCCAACTCGAGGTTCCTTCACCTAAGGCCAAATGTATATATATAAGAAAACAGATCGCAATTTATAATTCGTTTTTGTTAACAGGCAACAAACCTTCCACCAGCTGGATGTTCGTACAGTAAATTTTATTAAAATATGAATTATGCGCAGGAATTCACTCGTTACGTCTTATTACTGATTTTCTCATTAGTCTCGACATTTTTTTTCAGATGCAGGATTGATATGAAAATCGTTTTTTTGCCACTGCCTTTTATATCTGAACTGGGCGAAAGCGTACGAGATGTTTCAAGTAGAACACTCGGAGTAAATGCTGAGATCTTGGAACGAAGAATACGATACTCATTTTCAGTGTTCCGCCTTGACCGTTCCTGGACGAAGCAACAACAACCGAACACCGCCGGTTACCGGGTGTAGGGATATGGCCATTTTTCAGCGACAATCGGCATGATTTGGTTCGATCTTTAGCTAAATTGATGCAGTTTCGACCATTATTTAGACAAGAAAAGCAGGAAATGAAAGTGCAAAAGATTTCGTAAGCAGCAGTAAAAGCATCCATACATTTTCTTACTTTTCGTTGTTTAGAAAAAACAGAACGTAAACAAACCAGCTATATTCTTTGGGCAGAAGAAGTGTGTACGTGATTATGAATGCATCAAACTCAATACCACAGGCATATTTCGTCCATATTAAGGCGAATAAAATAAAAACAGGAACTACAAAAACGTGTGTTCTCATATTGTAACTCTTACTACAGAAATGAATTCACCTTCGGTTTTATTGTTTTCAGATGAAAAACCTGGCAACTAAACATATATTCACTCCGTTGCATTGACTGAAGTTAATAGTTTTCTATTTAATATTCAAAAAGCTTTATATGGCGAGTAAGTAACAATAGAACTTACTGTTTTTTATCCTCTAATGGAATTTTAAAAAAGAAATTTTTGTCTGGTTCAGTTGAAATTTAAAAGAAATTCGTACCAAGCCATTCTGCTTCCGAGTTAAGTAAGTAATGTAAAAGGCAACCTTTTACGGGTGAACAGCGCACATTTTATCGGTAAAAAACACATTTTTTTAAGAGAAAAAAGTAAGTTCGTAAAACTTAATGGAATTGACGTTGTTCTTCTCAACAAAGATCGTTTTGTAGGGCTTGTATAAAACACATTCTTTGTTCGCGTAGAGAAGTCAATTTTTTTCTTACTTCTCTGACGGGTCTGTCTGCCGTTTTTTACGTGGCTATTAAAGCGCGCGGCATATCTTCTAGTATATTTAAATAGAATTACTTTCATGCTTTTTCACATATAGCTGTGACTTCTTTGGATGTTTATATGCGTAAAAAGTTTTTGTTTCTGAAACTATCTTATTTTCACGATTTGTCATTTTTGCTTTCGATAGCACAGTGAAAGATAGGATACTTGAAGTATGAATAGTAAAAGCTCGCATCACTGGGAAAGACCATCACCTGACGGATACCGAAACTTAAAGATTGTTTTGCTGAATATTTCAGGTCAAAATAAAAGATGGCAAGCTCTCACCAGAAATTATCTCAAAGTCGAAAGTTAGCGCTGATTATCGGTAATGGTAATTACAATCGGTCGGATAATAGTCTACCTCATTCTATCAACAATGCTAAGGATTTGAGGGATTCGCTTGAAAAAATCAATTTCAATGTCAAAATGGGCTGTAATTTAGATAAGAATCAGATGGCCACACATATCATTGATTTCTCAAATACGGTTGGCGATGGCGATTTGATCTTATTCTATTTTGCTGGTCATAGTTATCAAGTCAATGGCGAAAACTATTTGATTCCCGTTCGTGACACTCAAATAGAAACTGATACAGACGTTGAAGACTTTGCTATTAATGTTGAGCGAACAGTCGCGCGACTAGTTAAACGAAATCCATCGTACGCGACTATAATGATTTTGGATTGCTATAGGCCTTACTCTCTGAAAAGTACACCAGCATCAAATTGTAAGTAACATCGGTGCTAAAGCTGTAAAAGTACGGTTCACCTTTTTTTTAGCTGCTAGCAAAGGTCTACATGAGATGAAGCCAATAACTGGAGCATTCATTCAGTTTGCCTGTGATGCTAATCAAATAGTTAGTGACGTTCTGAAAATAGATCGTAATGATTTATTCACCAAACATTTGCTAAAGAATATTACACAAGAAAATGTTCATATCACTGATATTTTTCAACGCATAAGAAACGATGTCTTCCAGGAAAGCAACAGAAAACAGCGACCATTGTCTATGAACGGATTGCTGCCACATAGACAAGTATATTTGAATGAAGTAATCGTACCTGTTGAAGGTAAATTAGACAAAAGGGAAAGCTGTCTTAACAGAAACAGAGGTATATCTGAAATAGGAAAAGGGTCAGTTAACTCATAGATTTCATTATGAGCGTATCTCGGCTTGTCCAAACGTAACGACGTTATGTTTTGGACGCACTAAAATGAAATTATCTCGGAAACTAAAATAGTTAAAAAGCTCATTTAAACGCCATTCGATGCAGCCCGTCGACCCCCATTTACGGTATAAAAATGAAAATTTTTCGATGAAGTCTGGAATTTTGAGAACGGTTTTTGTAGGCCGTAACGGCGTTACGAAAAAACACCGTTTTTTTCGAGTGCTATCAACAAAAACGTGAATTCGGACAAAGGTAAAGGTCATAATGAAACGTTTTTAGGACAGAAATTGTATAGCACAGAACGGGCTATCAGATGGTAAAAATAAGAATTTTTCGAACATCTTTAGTTAAGGCAAAAACATGAAAACATAAACGTAACGGGGTTACGCACTATTTTTGTCGAGTATTTTTGAGGGACCTAATATGATCAGAAGATTTTGATATTTATACATATAATTATTCGTGCTACAGTCAGCCGACATACTCAAGAATAAAGTCGCTACCTCGGGTTGGAGGGTCAAAAACTGTAAATTAAGTCGGCAAATGTACAAATTTTCTAAAGCGCTGAAGCTCAAAACCAAATACGCCATTTTGTAGAGAATTAAATTTTCTACGAAACCATAAGTTTAGAAATTTATTTTTCGAAAGCTTTCTCAGCTAAAAGTAGAAAACCCGATTTTTGAAATGTTCAAAAACCGGTTTGAGACTCAAAAACCAATTTTTATCAAAAAAGCGTTTTAAACGGGCTCCTAGAAT